AAAAAAACTACATATTGTGCTTTTCATCATCATCATCATCACTGCCCTTTATAAGTCCACTACTGAACATAGGCCTCCCCCTACCCATACCACAAAGCACGGTCCTGAGCCACCTGCATCCATCAATTTCCTGCATGTCTTACCAAGTGTGGTGGCGGGACGCCCTACACTTGGCCTATCGGTACGAGGCTACCGCTCAAGAACCTTTTTTTTCCGTCGGTTATCGCTTCTTCGAGCTATGTAGCCGGCCATTATTGTATTAGTACAATATTACCACTGGTTCTACTGCAGATATTCTCATTCCTAAGTTTATCACGCAGAGAAACTCCGAGCATAGCCCCCTCCATAGCTCGCTGAGAGGGCTATGCTCGAATTATTGTGCTTTTAGCAAACATAAATTTAATTTTAAAAATATACAATCAAAATGTAAATGCATTGTCTTCACTGACGATTAACATTAATTGCCTCGCTACCACCGCTACATCCGGTTCTAGTTAAACTCAGCACTAATGTCATGCTATAGGGTAAGTCGGGGGAGTTGGCCATAGTTTTTTTAAGAATTCAGTAAAATTAAAACTACAAATATTAATTAACAAAAATCAACTTTTAATTAAACTTTCGATATTAAACTCTTAGAATATCACATAAAATTATCCAAATCCAAATCCAAATTACTATTGGCGATTGGCGATTTAGCAAGGGATATATTGCATAGATTGCCAGTTTATTAATCAGCATTTCATCCACTCTTTTCCTATAGGTTTTTGAGCCTCAGCTTATTCTTCTTTTCTGTCCACATAATGAACGCTTACCTTCAAACTCGGTTCAAAATTTATGGAGCCACAATTGGCATAAAACGCATTGAAGCCAGTCTTTGATAAGATGCGTTTCATAATAATGTTCTTCACTGCCTACACAGTTGTCAACTTCTCTGTTTCCACTTTCTTGATCAGATAAGTCACATAATATTGGTTCTTCCCCCTCATTACTGCTTTCACATAATTATTTTGTAACATAGTTTAATGTAATTAGCGAGTAGCGAGTTTCTTCTCATTTTCTTCGCTGAATAGAGATGACGGTCTTTGTCATTATTTTACTTGTATCGTCTTTCTATACTCCATAAAAAAGCTATGTATATAGTCATTTTATCTTCAAACAGCATACATGGTTGCCTTAAATGATTCTTCAATCGGGTTCCTGCGTGAGCTGACTGCTTTTCTTTAGTTTTCATTTTGCATCTAAAAATAAAATACTATAATTTATTACTAAAACATAATTAGCATAAATAACCATTAATAAAGAAAATATTGCAAGTCATTATAATACAACTTTTAATATTACCACCTACCATCTTATTTAAGAATACAATGATGATAACTTTAGAAATAATTATGACTATGACGAGACCATGAAACCTGTGAACATGCCATGGACATTGCCATTTTTGGAAGGACTTGAAAGTTTAGGGCCAACTTTCCAACATAAAAGGTACTTACTCTCTGACTGGGCTTCAATGTTAAAAGGGACACTATATTCTTCACAGATTTGGTATTTATTAATGATTTAAACAAATTATTACGTTAGATAGACAAAACACTCAAAAGTAGAAAATGGCAAAGTTATCCTCAATTTGTGGAAACTTGCCATCAGGGTTTATAATTGAAATAATAGTATTTGACTTCAAGGTTGAATGTAAGTTTACTTCATAATGTACACAACATTCAGAGTTATGCTTTGCTCCTTTAATTGTAAGTACTACAAATAGCAAAGTTGCCCTCCCATTTTGAATTTTTCATAAAATCTTGAATATGTGTGTCCGTTTGTCGAAAGTTCTTGATTAGGTACGTACTTTACTTAATTTTATTATTAAAATCTTTTCACAATAATTTCTTAGACAAAAATCTAAAATTTATCAAACAAAAATACTTTCCTCTAAAATTAAAAGTCAAATTGGGGCAATAAAAAGCTCAACTCAAACAATCCATATAAAACACAATATGTCCCTTAACTTCAATCAAACTATGTCCCTTACAGACTTTGAAACCATCCAACCGATTTTGATGAAATTTTTATGTGTTTGAATGAGTCCCTAGATGGTTTTTATTCACATGGGCCCGGTAGGTGACTGTGTGGTCAAAATCCAGAAATCACCCGTGCGAAGTCGGTGCGGATCACTTGTCAATTATAGTATAGATCAAAAATGAAGCTTGTCACAATCATTTTCAACAAGTATTCGTGTTTTTATTAGTCATCATCATCATTATATTACGATCAGGTGGAAAAAAATATTTTGCCACAATGCACAACATTCATAATTATCAAATTAATATCAACACACTAAGTTGAAAATATGAAAAATACTAAATAGTAATAATATTCCTAATACCCGACAACACAGTAAAAATAATATAGATTTCTAATTTCTTTTCCTTAACTTTTGATAAATATGAATCGATTGACATCTTATATGGTGAAATTGGTCAAAATGGCTGCTAAGGTGCAATATCTATACAAACATATATAGATAGAATGTAAAGTACAGAACCATTTCTTTGAAACGTCGTATTTGGTTAAAAATATAAATTGAAAGTAGTTGATGGCAAAACGAAACATGGCAAAAGTTACCGTCACATCATGGTGTCACTAGTACGGTAATTTTGCCAAGTCAGTTTTAAAGACAAAATGTTAAGCCAACCGTGTTGAAAACGAAATTATTCGTTTCGTAAGCATTATTATTACGTTGGTACAAAGATATAGATACCTACATTCGTTATTTCAAGCAAAATCAACAAAAGTTCTGAAGTAATGAACAAGAACGTTAAAACGCCGGTACAATTTCACGTTAAAATAAATTTCCAAAATTAACTTTCATGTAGCCGTAACGAAAACAATGCTGTTAATTAGTTATTAAATTTTTATCCAAAAAATGGCATTTCTCGAAAAGCGTTACCTTGTCCACATTAATTGTAATTAGTACCTGTACGTCCCTGATGGCAAAGTTAACTTCCATAGGTAAAGTTACCAGATTCGATTGTACCCTGCCTAATTCTCATCTTAAACATTCGATTAATTCATAGTCGGATAATTATCGGAGATTTAAATAGTAAATAGCGAAAACTTTTAACAATTATTACCAGATTAAGTATCGTATAAAGTTATTATTCGGCAATGATAGTTTAGGGTTAGGGTCTGGCCGTCCCACTGGACCAGTCCTCCTCTAATTTCTGATAGGGTTTTAGGGAAAGGAAGTGCCCGCCGCGCCTCCCAAATGCGTGTTGGCGAAGTTCACATATCTTTGAAATATACTTTTTTCTCTTATTTCTCAGACATGCAGGTTTCCTCACGATGTTTTCCTTCACCGCCGAGCAGATGATAAATCAGCACTTAAAATTGCAATTAACAATTTTGTTGGCGCCAGCGAGGATCGAACCCGGGTTGCTCTCACACTGTGAAATTTATAGCGAGCGCTAACCGTCAGAGTTACCACGGCAGTAAACATATAAGCCGAGTAGGTTATCTCTTCGTGAAAAAACAATGCCATCAAAAACATAACTTATAAAAAAACAAGTCTCGCAACTCTGTTATTCTACCGTAAAAAGTTGTGAGATCAATGTAATACCAAGTCGGTTAATTTATTCAGTCCCTACTTCTGTTTTAAGTTATTACGTAATTATTAGCTAACCTAACATCTTTTATTTTTTTGTCTCGTATCTCACAAGTAAAACATATTATATTAAATTAGATTACTTATTGCGATTGCCAATTCAATCATTTATTTAAAACATAAAATATTTTTAACGTTGATATGATCACTATAAGATGTTGTTAGGTTAGCTAATTGCGTAATAACTTAAAACAGAAGGACAAAAAAATAAGAGCTTAAATCATGTATGTTACAATTAACAACACAAAACAAATTAGAAATAGCTTGGTAGCGATCACCCTTCCCAGGGGTTATTATCGGCCATAAATTTCTTAATATTATAATAACCCTTTTTATACAAACTTATATTTGTGTATGTCTAATTTTGTATATTTTCTGGGATTTCGTTATATCTATATATTGTTCTGAGTCTAAATTTTTCTCCTTGTGCAATTTATGTATGTAAACTGCATCCGCGATACAGGAGAAAATCCTAGGGTGGGAAGGGGTTATGTTGTTCAATATTATAATCTAAAATCTCTTATTTCAAATAACGTACAAACATGAAGAAATGTCTTGTCATTAATAAATCAAATAGTCTGGGTTTAATATCGTTCACTGAAACCAAAAAAATTCGCTGTAAGTTGGCCATTCGATTTATTTTTTGCAGACAAATAGATTGGATATGAATCATTTATCAGTAAATAATCAATTGAAGATTTGCGGCAATCGCCACGTTTGGTAGACGGATATATAGATAACAATTTATTACATTATAAGGACAATAAAATAATAATAATAATAATAATAATACGGATGATGGTATAGATTGGAAAGCGCATAGGGCCGCTGCCTGATGGGTCGCCGGGGCGCGTCTGGAGCTGGCGCTGGACTCGGCAGCATGTGGGCCGCCAGCCGAGCGCGAGGAGCTGTACGATCACCTAGCAGCCCCCGCATCAATCATCCCCACCAGAAGGCTTGGTGTCGGCAGGGTCCTCTTGGACTCGGCAAGCGGCACCCGCCGCTGGTGGAGTACGCCGCGTGCGTTGGTACAAGGGATAATGAACGCAAATGCACTGCGGGCGTACTTTAGGGCGAAAGGGGAAGAAACTGCGGAGGATAGCGTATCGGGCTCGGATGCATTGCTTTTTTGCTGAGCTGGAGCCGTCTATTCCCGTCACGGAACAAAACCTGGCAGACCGAGTTCGGTACATCCTGCGCTCCAAAATATTTGATGACGCCGAACTCGAACGACTACGACGTGAGGCCGTTCCCTCATCGAATGAATTGGCTACGGCTGGGGATGCGGCTCCTCTAAGTGCGCAACAGACCAGCATTGCCACGCGTAGAAGCCGCCATGGATCTTCCAGTTGTGGTTGATTCAGACGATGATGGAATGGTCTCCCACGAACTAGGGCAAATGAGGAGTATATTGGAAGAGGCGATTTCGGAAACGCGCTGCATGCCTCTCGAAAATCGACCGCGACTTCCCCGCATACCCCTAAGCAAGCGAAATTGGGCTGTCGTAAGGGCTCTTAACCCAATGCTGGTGACCTATTTGGAAGCCAGCCGGGACCTTTGCGAGACGGACTCAGTTCTTTTTGCCTGGAGAAAAAGAATCGAGGACCGTATCGCAAAGGCAAGGGCCCTTATCGGCAGACTGATAAGCTTCAGGTCGGGTAATAATAGACCGAGGGTTGTGCGCACCGTTAGAATGGCGTTTGCTGGGACGAATATTAGTTTGTCCCAGCCGGATATCACGCAGAAACTAACGGAGCGCATAGACGACCTGAAGCAAAAGATTGCTGCTTGGGGGAAGCGGATTCGCTGATTTAGCGAGAGGTCAAGGCGGTTCAACCAGAATCGTCTCTTCCAGCGTGATCAGAAGAGGCTCTATAAATCATTGGAGCGACCAGAGGTATGTGGAGCGGGCCCAGGACCGGACCAGGCTAACACTGTCGCATTTTGGCGTGGCCTGTGGTCAGAGCCCGTAAACCACAGCGAGGGCCCTTGGACGGAAGTTGTGGCGAGCCAGTGTGCGAGTATTACGCCCATGGACCCCGTCACCATAACGCCGGATGACGTATCTGAGGCGGTGCGTAGAGCCCCGAACTGGAAAAGTCAGGGGGTCGACGGGCTGCATCACTTCTGGTTGAAAGGTTCGTGGTGTGTCACGCTATGCTCGCCCGTCAGTTTCAAGAGGCTCTCGATCAGAAGTCGCTCCCTAGCCTCTTCACTACTGGGATCACTCATTTGGATCCTAAAGACCAGGATACCACAGACCCGAGCAAATACCGCTCCATTACGTGTCTACCCACCATATATAAGACACTGACATCCATTTTGAGCGCGAGAATCACTCGTCACCTGGAGCTAAATCAGGTGATGTCACGCGCTCAAAATGGATGTCGGGGCGGTGGTCGTGGAACCAAGGAACCACTCCTCATTGACGCGGTCATTGGCAAAGTGGTGAAACGCAACCGTCGGAACTTCTCCGCCGCCTGGATAGACTACAGAAAGGCATTCGACTCGGTGCCCCATACATGGCTAAAGAGAGTCCTCGAGCTGTACAAGATAGACTGTACAGTTAGAGACTTCCTCGAGCAGTGTATGGGGCAGTGGAATACGATCCTTTGTCATCTGGATGATGGCTGTGGAGAACCACATAAGGGTAAGAAGGGGTATCTTCCAGGGCGATTGTCTGAGTCCAATCTGGTTCTGCCTCTCCCTGAACCCTCTCAGTACCTTACTGGAGGGATCCGGGAGAGGATTTCAGCTACGGAAAGGAGGGACAAAAGTAACCCACCTTTTCTATATGGATGACCTTAAGTTATTCGCCTCCAGTTGCTCCCATCTTGGGGAATTGCTAAAAATCACTTGTGAGTGTAGCAGTTCCATTGGAATGGAGCTGGGGACGGATAAGTGTGCGGTCCTTCATGTTGAGAGGGGAAGGGTTGCTAACTCTGAGGGCATAGATTTATCTATGCCCGTCAACTTAAGGACCCTTTCCGAGGCTGAAACATACCGATACCTGGGTATGTCACAGAACATCGGTATCGATGAGGCTGGTATGAAACAGTCAGTTTGCGACGTGTTTTATGCACGCTTGACCAAAGTGCTTAATAGCCTTTTGTCCGGTGTGAATAAGACACACGCATATAACGGTTGGGTCATACCTGTCCTTTTGTCGTGTGAGTGCTTTATCGTTTTATCCCACGAACTTAGGCATGTCATCTCCGGTTGTTCGGCGCTTTCTAACTCTGAGTACTTGCACAGGCACAACCTAGTAGCCAGAATTCTACACCAGGAGCTCGCTCTGAAATACGGTCTCGTGGACCGGAAATTGCCGTATTACAAGTACTTGCCGGAAGCCGTGCTCGAAAATGACCGCGCCAGGCTCTACTGGGACCGGGCCATCATCACAGACAGGACTATTCTTGCGAATAAGCCTGATATTGTGCTGATGGACCGGGCACAGTCAAGGACATTTTTGGTCGACATTACCATTCCGTATGACGAGAACCTTGTGAAAGCCGAAACAGATAAGCGAACAAAATATCTGGACCTGGCTCACGAGGTGACCGACATGTGGGGTGGTTGGCCGACCGAAATTATTCCTGTAGTCGTCTCTGCGAATGGGCTAATCCCAGTCAGCCTCTCGGGTCATCTGAGGCGACTGGGACTCCGTGACGGACCGCTCCGAGCTCAAATGCAGAAGGCAGTGGTCCTCGATACCGCCCGCATCGTCCGTCGGTTTCTTTCCCTTCCCCCTAACCCTCGGCTGTTTGGTCTCCTCTGCCGAGGGCTCCCTTCTGGTTGGATCTTTATTTATTTGTGTATTTTTTGTATTTATTTTATTTTATTGATATTTATGTATATTTATCTTTTCATTTTAATTTATAATTATATATTTATAGAAACCAACCAGATGAAAAAACTATACAGATACCCAGATAATAATAATACAACCGTATTAGACGATATTCAGAAAGATCTAAACGGTACTTCCAGAATCGCACATTCGAAAGTAACCAAAAGAGGATGTATCGGTCTTGGGAGAACACTACAACTAATAGTTGTACTCATGTTAGCCCAAGCTTAAATGAATGTCTAAATTTTTGGAAAAGTATGTGGTCTAACGAAGTTTTTCATAATGAAGGCGAATGGATTCGTGCAACCGAACGTAAGTTTTCTAATTTGGCTAACATGGGTTCTATTTCAATTACTGCTGAAGATGTATACTCAATTACTCGTAGATTACACAACTGGAAATAACCTGGACCAGATGGTATACACAACTTTTGGCTGAAATGGATAACAAGTGGCCACGTGCGTTTGGCTGCACAGATTCAAAAAGCCATTGAGTATTGTGAGCTCCCGAGACTTCTTACAACTGGTATTACCCACTTACTATATAAAAATGGAAACACCACTGAACCTAAAAATTACCGACCTATAACATGCCTTTCAACTGTATATAAATTAATAACTGCAATTTTGAATAACAAGATCTATAAACAATTGGAAAATAATAACATTCTTTCAACTGCACAGAACGGATGTCGGAAAGGGTCACGTGGTTGTAAAGAACTTCTTCTTATTGACACTGCTATTTGCCGACAAGTCTATCGTAATCGCAAAAATATGTCCGCTGCTTGGGTGGATTACAAAAAGGCATATGACTCTGTTCCACATTCATGGCTAAAGAGAGTTTTACAAATATATAAAATAGATGACAAAATTTGTAAGTTTTTAAGTAAATTAATGGGTCAGTGGAACACTATCCTAAATCTACCAGGTGAGTGGCAAAGTAGTTCGATAGACTCTATAAATATTAAACGGGGTATATTCCAGGGAGATAGTTTGAGCCCAACTTTGTTTTGTTTAGCCCTGAATCCTTTAAGCACTGCTATTGAGGAATCCGGATTAAGGTTTCGGTTTCGAAAAGAAAACTCACCGATCTCACATCTACTTTATATGAATGATCTCAAACTATTCACATCAAAAGAGAGTAATCTACTATTATTGTTGAAATTAACACATAGTTTCAACAATGATATTAGAATGGAATTTGGAATAGATAAATGTGCTATCATCAACGTAAATAGGGGCAAAATTAGAGATTGTAATAAATTTGCAATTACAAATGACTTACACTTCAGTTCTCTTTCTGAAACAGAAACCTATAAATACTTGGGCATGGCAGAAGCACTAGGAATTAATGACAAAAATATTAAAGAAAATTCAAAAGTAAAATTTATGTCAAGATTAAAAAAGTTATCAAAAGTCATTTATCCGGCGGAAACAAAATTAGAGCATATAACTCCTGGGTAATACCTAGCCTTCTATATACTTTTGGTGTTACAAGGTGGTCTCAAACAGAATTGGATGACTTAGATAGACGAGTCCGTACATTAATGACTACACACAGAATTATCTGTCATGAGGTTGTATCTTCCAAGAAAAGATGGTGGACGGGGCTTATTAAACATTAAAAACCTGCACAACCGTGAAGTATACAACCTCAGAGACTACTTTATTAAAAAAAGACACATCACACATTCATAATGACGTAGTGATTAAAGACAAATCATTAACCCCGCTTAATATGTCGGCAAAGGACCGGCAGAAGCCTCATACTATGACTATGGATGAACGCAAAAAGGTTTGGAATGACAAACAACTGCATGGTCGATTTTTTAAAGCATTGACTAATCCTTGTGTAGACATGGTTGCATCAGTACATTGGTTACAATTTGGTGACCTTTTTGCAGAAACTGAAGGTTTTATCTGTGCAATACAAGATGAAGTAATTAAAACGAACAACTACCGGAGATACATTCTGAGGGACGGCACAGTTGACGTATGTCGCGCATGTCACCACCCTGGAGAGTCCCTCAGACATGTCATCTCCGGTTGTTCGGTCAACTTCAAATGGTGAGTATTTGCACAGGCATAACCAAGTAGCTAGAATAATACACCAACAGCTTGCCATTAAATTTGGCTTTACTCATGACAGGACTTTCCGTATTATAAGTACTGAACCAAAGCCAGTCCTTGAAAATAGAAGTGTCACACTGTACTGGGATCGATCAATTATCACAGACAGGTTTATAGTGGCGAATAAGCCTGATATTGTGGTGATAGACCGAACTACACGCAAGGCAACAATAGTGGATATCAGTGTTCCTCGTATGACGAGAATCTCGTGAAAGCCGAGAATGATAAAAAAATTAAATATATCGACCTGGCTCATGAGATTGTCGCTATGTGGGACGTTTATTCTCCACTATTATTGTACCAATAGTTGTTTCAGTTAATGGGCTTATTTTGGTAAAAATATGGACGACTGATCCAAGTTAGGTTTGGACAAATGGCTGAAGGCATTAATTCAAAAATCGGCCTTATTAAATACGTCTCGAATAGTAAGAAGATCTTTGGATGTCTAACTTCATCGATGGCTTAGAATTCCTCGCCGCGGTGGATAATAACCGAAATAATAATATTATTTATATAGATTGTATTTATATTTATAATATTATATAGTTTTGTGATAATATATGTAATAATAATAATAATGATAATAATCTCTTAGAGACCGAATTTCAATCACAGCGCTCAGTCTTAATGGAGATTAGACATCGGCGCACGATAGGATTGTAGTGCGCGAGTCTGTACGCAAACACTGGTGCATTTTCTATGCTTTTTTCTCTCATAGTCCGATAGAAAGAAAATCTGACATGATCGGAGAAATATCAGGCGCTAAAACGGCTTTAAGTGCCTAAGCACGGGGCTGAAATACCGCCAACGTCCCACTCCTAACTGCTACTA